CTAGCTTGAGTTTCAGGCAGGGCAGACCTGATGCTGCCACCAATGCCACCTCCCCAGGCTCTCCTGAGGCACAGAGCACCCCGCAGAGGCCGGTAAGTGTGGAAGAGGTGGTTACTGCCGGCCATCATGGCCAATGTGTCTCTTAAAAGGGCTGGGGGTAAGAAGGAGTCTCTCCATGAGGCAAGGGAGTCCCTTCTGGCCAGCCTAAGGCTGCCGACTTCTCCAGGGAGGAAAAACAGAGCAGAGTGAGCAAGAAGTACAGGGAGAGGCTAGATTTGGGCCAAATTGATCTCCCTCTTGCCCCAGGAAGCTGGTTCTCTGCCAGGACCTGTAGCGTCTGGAAATGCCTGTTAAGAAGTCTCTGGGACACAGGACCATCTTGCGCTCTGTCATTCTGTTCCCATCTCTGACCCAGCCTCAGCCATCAGGGGGCCCACTGGAGTAGTTCTGGGAGCACACTTAAGTGGAGCTGTGTGCCCCCAGTCCCACCAGCTGTGGCCCAGATCACTGCTGAGGAGGTAGCATTGAGGACCTGAGGCCTCACTGTGAGAGACAGAGCTGAAGAGATCTCAGGAGCCAAGGCTGCCAGATCAGCGAAGATGGCTACCGTCCTAGCTGGGCTTAGGGGTGTGGTTAGCTCCTCAGTTAGTGGATCTGTCTGGGCCCCTCCCCTGCAATGGTGCTCCCCTCTGCTCCCTGGCCGCATTCCTGCAAGCAAAGAGACAACGGTGACCATGAGATCCCTCCAGGTAAGGAAACTGCTCTGGAGTTGGACAGAGGAGAACATTTTTGAAGGATTTTGCTGGCCTTTTTTTTTTCTCTGAAATATAAGGATGTGCAATTTTTTTGGTTTCAATTTAGCATTGGAGAATTTTATAATTTAGTAATTAAAATCTCTGATAGGCTTTAGAAATTGCGGCTAATTGAATTTAATGGGAAGATGATTTTCAATTTTATTTGATTACCGGGACCCCTGGCATCGGTATTTATGGGAAAAAAATGGGAAATGTGCTGTGTGGGCTAAGATGGCATAATTGAATTAGGGATAATCGGATTTCTCCGTCATGAATTTCACTATAATTTTCCTATAATTTTCCATTAGATATCTAGTTTACAAATATTCACAAAGAAATGAAGCTCTTTCGGAATGGAGATTGCTGGCTAACAGGATTATGGGCCGAGCGTGCGGCTGTGCCAGCCCTACCCGGCCCTAATGTGATCCCTGTGTCTGCCTTACACTTAGCGTGGCCTCAGGAGCTTGCTTCGCCACCCACTGTACCGCTCCGTCCTAGCCTTTGTTTCCTCTTCCTCTGTGCTCATCCCCTGGCCCAACACCCACCTGTGCAGGGTCCACACTCTCTGCCACCTGATGGCTGAGCCCAATCCCAACTGAGGCCCAGGCCTCACGGAAATGGCTCCGTCCTTCTGTATCCCCTCTTGCTTCCTGTCCACACTCTGTTGGCTCCCAGTTTTTCCTGACACTCCTCCTCCATCCCTGTGGAGCACCCTCAAACACACGGGCGCCCTCGCAGGTGCGAACACGCTTGCTCACATGCACACACAGTCCTCTGGCTAAGGCTTCTGTGCCCTGGCCCAGTCGCCTCAGAGGGAACCAGTTTATTGGGATCCTGGGGTGGGGTGCAGGAACAAAAGGAGCTTTGTTCAAGTTTATGTGAAAGTTACAAATTCAAAATGAGAGCAGATAAAGCAGGAGATACCTGATGTGTAAACAGGTCGGTGAGTGAGAAGGCCCCAGGCTCGGGAGGGAGGGGGAACAAGTGGGCACGCTGGGGGTGCGAGAGGATGCCAGCGGCATGGCAACCTGACTGGGGTGAGTGGAGACTGGTATGGGCCGCTTGGCTGGATGAGGTGGCTAAAGAGGCTTCTATTCTGCTTGGGGTGTCCTGGAAAGACCTGGAGTCTCTGAGCCCCAGGCCCTGGAGACCAGTGGAAAGCATGGAATGTTCTCACGATTACTAGTCTCAGGGTCTCGGGGGCGTCACCACATCAGAGAATCAGAAAGGCATAGATGAGCCACAGCCCTAAAAGATGCTGGCTCTCCAGGCTTCCTCCATTGGTGTGGGCGCAGAACCGAGAGCAGAAGAGATCGGGAGTCGCTTCACACTCATGGCCCACAGCCCCGATGCTTCAGCCTTCGGCTCCATCCTCGCTTTCTTACTTTTCTTCTCCTCGGCTACACATGGCTCCTTACTCTTGAGTCCAACCTACTTCACCGCTGGCGCCCGATTGTGACCCACTGCCTCAGAATAGAGGGTGCCTTCCGGGCAGCTCTTCCCCACTGTGGCACGTGTGGCAACCCCTCTTGCTTGCCCTGACCTGTGACCTCCTCCTAGCTCTCTCGGCCCTGCCCTGTCAGCCTTTGCCCTCCAGAGGCTCCAGAGGTATTGTTCTTACTTAGGTGACTGGAAAGGAGAGGTGGTTTCCTGCTCGAGCAGGCCTTCCTGGGGGTCAGCCCTGATTATCATTAGCTGAAAACCAGGACATTCAGAACAGACCAGAGGCTCTGTCGGTCTCCTATGCAGGGAGCTCCCTGTCTGTGCAGACACCCTAGCCGCCCCTCCATGCCTGGCGCCAGGCTTCCTTCTTCACCTGGTTGCCCACACCAGGCTGGGGTGTGGGGCTAATTGCCTGTTGTTACAAGCCAAGGCTACAAGGGGGTAGAATCCTTGTTGGGTTTTTGGGGGGTGGGGTAGGGAAAGGCTTGGGCAGCACCCACAGAGATTTCTCAGGGCAGTCCTGGACACAGAGATCCCACAGGGAAAGTGGGCTCTTGGTTCTCTGTGCCTGGCGTCCCTGGGCCCAGCTGTTGGGGAGTGTGGGGTTTGGTTTAAGGAGCCCTGTTTCCTTACTCAGGGATTTAGGGCCAGGTAAATTTAGGTCTTTGCACATAGGGATAGTGATGGTTCTGAAGTATGAAGGGTGTGTGACAACCTTGTCTGGGGTTGCCAAGAAGGCCGTAGGGAGGGTGGCAGACCAAGAGAGAGATGCTGTATCCTTTGCGGAGCCATTTAGAATGAAAGAACAATCAGAAGAAAAGAAGGAAAATACGGAGAAAGTAGGAGAAAGAGTAGATTGTTAACTCTCGTGACGTCTTTGCCTCAAGGCCTCCTTGGGCCCCTCCCTTTGCAAAATAGAAATATTGCAAAAATAGGCCAGCGCCATTTTGCTGAATGCTGCCCAGACGAGGGAGAGCCTAAGCCCATTCTCCTCCCCTCAGCGAAAGGCTGTGTGGCCCGTCCTACAGAGGACAGTAGAGAGAGGTAGACTGGCCACCGAGGGACAGGAAGCTGGGCACGGTGGGAACAGGCCTCAGTAGGTCCTGCTCCCTGCAGGATGCTTTCCTTGAGCGCCTCCAAGCCAGATGGTAATGGACCATTAGGATCTTAGGGGAGGAGGGAATGGCCGAGAGACAGGGAGAAAGGGAAAGTCAAGAAAGAAAATTGTTTGGTCCAGCCCTAAAGAGACATCAGAGTGGGCAGGGTGTGGTTCCGAGGGAACAGGTGTCAGGACGCTGGCCAACTTGGTTGAGGGGTGTTCAGGGATGGAAAGGAAGCCCAAGTGATGACGTGGATCAACAAAGGAGATTGTCTAGAGACTGTGAGGGAAGTAGGAAGGGGAAAGGAAGGAGAAAGGCTGGGGACTGGAGCGTGCGTGGCCTGACGTGGAAAGACTCCCGGGCCATCTTGAGGGCAAAAAGCAAAGCGAGCGGTGTCAACTTCAGACTGCGCGTCTGCGGGAGTGCGCACGGGGGAGGGGAGCGCGAGTTTCTCCGGCACACCCAGCCAGGCCGCCCGCGACTCCTTTCTTCTCCCAACTCCAACAGTCATAACAAAACGAGGGAAGTAGGGTGAGCGAGGGAAACAAAACCCCTTCCGTGCCCGCCCCACCCGCAGCCCAAGGGCACCTCGGAAGCGAACGGCAGGAGCGCGCGCGCGCGTGCCGCAAAAGTCCCGCACCTGCGCTCGCTCCCGCGCGGAAAAGTTTACGCGGGCGCGCGCAGGGCGGCCGGGGAGAGCGAGCGGGCGCCCGCGGCGAGCGTGGGCGCGCGTGCACGAGTGCCAGCTCCTCGCTTCGCTCGGGCGCACGACTTCCCCACACAGCCGCGCACGGCGCGCAGACACTCCGGCCTCCCCGTCCCTCGCACGCGGCCCCACGAGCGCCGGCCCCGCCTCCCTCCCCTCCGAGCTCCGGAGACCCACCGCCCGCCCTCAGTCCGCCCCAGCCCGTGCGCGGGGGGGCGTGCGCGCGCGCGGGAAGCGCGCCCGCGCGCCCATTCACCTTAGCGCCAGGGCGAGGCGTGCGCGCGCGCGCGGGCGAGCCTGATCGTTCACCTGCCGGAGCCGCGCGCGCTCCCGCAGAGGGGCGGTGCCACGGCCACCCTGCCAATCACCTCGGCGCCTGGCAGCGCCCGGCCGCTCCCGCCCGCCCAGCTCCCTCCTGCCAAACTGTTACCCTGAGTGTTACCGTCAGGAGCAATGACATCAGGATTTTAAAACAACTTGTTATTCGGGGAGTAATCAGTTGCAATTAGGCATTAATTAAGTATTATGAAAGTTGATTATTTAAGTGAATTCGGCTTTCGACTCTCCGACTATGGTGAGTACCGGGAGCGAGCGGGGGAGGGCCGGGCCGGGCCGGAGCGGCGACCCCTGAGCGCTCGGGACGAGGCGTGGGGGTGGGGGGGCCCTCGGCCCGGCGGGCCCGATCCCCAGCCGAGCGGCGGCCACGGCAGTTTCTGTTGTAGTTGAAGGAACTCGGAGCTGCCGGGAGCGTGCGGGCCGGAGCGTGAGAGCGAGCGTGAGGCGCGGAGCAAACTTTCCCCGCCGTCGCCCTCCCGACCCGGCTCGGCCCGGCGCGCGTCCCCCCGCCCGGGATGCGCTCGGCCCGGCGGGGAGGGACCGCGGGCGGGCGGGAACAGGGGGCCCGCGAGACACTAAACATTCTTTTCTCTCTTCTTCTTTTCATGACGCTTCTCGAAGAGTTTGGGACCAAGGAGCGGAGAATGGATCTTGGAACAGGTACGCGCGGTGGGAACCCACGGGGAGGCTCTTTCACTTTTCTTTCGGTTCTTTGACGGAAGTTAGTATTTTCAGCCCAGTGAGCTCGCAGCTGAGTCGAGGGTACCGGACAGGCGCCAAGGGTCTGTGCCCATGGTCCCTGCTAGCCCTGCTTTCTGGATGGTGATATTGTTATTTGTTACTTGTTTAGTGACTGTGACTAATTTGATGGTTGTCATTATGAAAGAACCGAGGGGACAGGGAGCTGGGGGGCACCCAGAGAGAGAGAGGAGTTAGGGGGTTTTTGTGGGGGATTTTGTTCTCCGTGTTGTGTTTTTTTTTTTTTTTTTTTTTTTTTTTCCTCTTGTGTTTTTTAGACACATGCTTTTCCCTTTGCAAAGATCTCTGTGTGGCTCATGGGGTGTGTGTTTTTATTTTTTTAGTGGGGGGTGGTTTAGTTTTTGAAAGCAGCGTCCTGTTGGGAAAGGTGGTTAGTCTGGTTTCGGGGCGACTGTCTCAAGGTAAAGGAATTTAATTTATTTGGGACAAGGCTGTGTCGGATGATCAAGCTGCTTATTATGGCTAATGAGTGTTTTTCACCTGAGAATCTGTGGGCTGAGGTGGCTGTTATCAGTTCAAAGTAAGGGGCCCAGGACTCTCTCTCTCTCTCTCTCTCTCTCTCTCTCTCTCTCTCTCTGTCCCCCTTTTAGCTCCCACTCTGGGAGGTGATGGTAGGCCAGACCTAGGACTACATTTAGATACCTGGGTCTGGGAAGCTTGGTGTGGGACTAGGGTCAGGCTCCAGCTGGTGCCCCAGTGGCCTGGGCAGAGTTTAACCTGTGAGTTATTGTGTCTTTCTAGTTTTGATTGAATTGTACTTGGTAGTTCTCTTCTCATCAGAGCCTCCTACCTGAGCCCATCGAGGCTTGCTTAGTTCTTTGGTCTTCCACCAGTCTCCTCTATCAACACCAGGGGCCACTGACCACTGCTGTTTCGTTTGGGAAAGGAAAGGTGGTATGAGGCGGCTCTTAGGAGTTGGTGTTAGACTTGTCCAAGTTCATGGACACAGCCCCATGGGACCCTACAGAGACAGCTGCCTCTCGGAGGCAGAGGGGGCAGGAGAGGGCAGTCAGGGATGTGTGTTATGGGGCAGGGAACCTTCATAGAGTTGTTGGACTGTAGGGACAGGTGTGTTCTTGGGAAGTGGAGGTCTCCTGGGCACCTGTGCCTGGGAAGGGCACAACGCCCCCTGCTGGGCAAATTGGGAAAGCTGTCTAGTAGCCATTGCTGCCACCCTGCCCCTCCCTGTCCTCCATCCCACAGAGAACCAGCCCGCCTCCACCTCTAATCAGGTGTCTCATCACCACCCTCTCAGGACCCGCCCCCTTTTCTTCAGAAATGGGGGCCCCACCCGTCCCAGCCAAGAAGCAGACCTAAGAGACAGGCCCAGTGTTTGGCACCACCCCCTATCTGGCACAGGAAAGCCTGCTCATGGGCCAGCACAAGGGACTCAGGCATTACTCAGCTGGAAGGAGGGCCCTACTCTCTTCCTTCTGACCTAAGTGCCAACTGGAGCTGGCTCCCGTCCTGCCATGCCAGTCTCTCCTAGGCTGCCATGGAGGCACGATTCCATATCCTGCCCTGTCATGATGGCAGGGCAGGAGGCAAGTGACAGAGCCTCCTGTGGCACCTTAAGGGCTCTGGGGAGACTTACTGCTCTCCACTCTCCAGGGACAGGCTCTGGAGACTTTTCCTAGAAGCCAGAAGGGCCAGGAAGTCAGCCGGAGCAGGGCACTCCCAGTGGGACCCGAGTCTGGACTCTGGCCACACAGAGAGGAAAGGTCCATGGTGTCAAAGTTCTGTTTCCTGGAGGAGTTGTCTAGTGATACCTCCCGTCTCTTCTCTGATCTTGGGAGTTTCACTTAATCTCAGAACTTCAGAAGAAAAGCACTTTCCCATCACTTCACACAGAAAGGGGAAGCAGAGAAAGACTCAGTCAGATCTGCTCTCCCTGAGCCGTCTCTGGGGCAACTCTGTCCTCATCTTAAGGAGCTGAGAGCATCTCCCTCAACCTCCCTCATGCACAGGGGTGTGCTGAGCCCTACTGCTGGTGCAGGGCAGGGCGTCCTTCCTCTGGGATTAGCCCGGGGAGCTCCAGCTAAAGGCCTCGGCGCGGCATAAGGAAGTAAGCCCCACGGAGTTGCCAGTTCCAGAGACCTCCAACAAGTCTCTAGGTGGTGGGTTAACTGTCCCTTCCAGCCTTGGACGCACCCAGGTCCTGAAGCACTCTGGCCATAAGTGATTCAGTGGTGGGGGAGAGTTGAGGTTTCTTTGGAGGGGACAGGAGGATCTCAAGACCCTCAAGGGCCATGTGGACCCCTTTTCCCCACCATAGTTCAGCCAAGGGCTGGATCAGTCTGGACGTCTTTAGCAATAAAAAATGCCGATGTCGTCCTAATTCACCAGGCCCCGAGATGACAGCAAATTTACATTTTTTAATTAAACTAGCAGCCAGTTTTTATGAGAGGGGGTTGGGTTATGCAAATCAAATGGTTGTGTACGGAAGATTAGGAGAGTTTGGGAATAAATTCCACAAATGCTAATAAAAAAAAAAAGGGAAAGAGAGAGAGAGAGGGAGGGAGGAGAGAGGAAGAGAGGAGGACATGGTTCCATTAGGCCCTTTTAGAGTGATTTCCCTGGGGGAGGGTGTTGGGAGGGGGAGGAGGAGCAGAGGGGAAGCTTTCAGACACAGGTAGATCCATCCTGTAGTTGGGAAGCTCCCCAGGATTAGCCCCCACCCCCACCGTAGGCTGATTTCTGGGCCTGAACACACAGGAGCCTGGGTAAAAATGGCAATGTGAGAGCAGTAGAGCTGCGACAAAGAACTTGTCCTTGATTGTCTGGAATCTGTTGGTGAGCCCCTCTTAAGAAGGGGAGAGGATCCTGTAGAGGATCCAAGGTAGGCTGTTCTGGGTAAAGGGCCAGACAGGCACGAGAGCAAGTTCAGAGGAATGGCCACTGAGCACGGGGAGCTGGCTGCAGGGCCCACTGGGGAGGACTGGCTGAGCAGAGCTGTTGCACGGCTCTGCTGGGACCGCCCAGGACCCTTTCTCCTGGGCAGACTCTCTGGTCCTGTGTCATGTAGCCTTCAATGACAGGGAGGTCAGGAAAGATGAGGCCAAGAGAGCTGGCCCAGAAAGCAGCCCAAGGCAGGAGAATGGCAACAGACTCCCACTAGTTGTGTCTCAATCTAAGGAGCAAAGAATTTGGCTTTCCACCCTCAGCTTCTGCAGCCAGAGTATCATCACCCAGAACTTCTGTGAGCCAAAGGTTCAAAGCCAGGTATTGCTGGAAGTGGAAACGTCCACAAACCCTCATGGCTCCAGGTACACTTCACTCAGCCACACCAGGGAATGGGAACCATCTTGTGCTGCCTTTGGAAGGATTTCATGTTGGGTTGGGTAAAGCAGATCACCCTCAATTTTTCTTCCTCCAGACTGTACTTGGCCAGATACACCCACTCAACCAGTCTAAGCCGGGGCCAGGCTGGGCACCGGTTTTGCTAGTCTGCAGGGGGCGGGCATTCTGGTGCCATCTTGGCAGGAAGGAGGCATCAGAGCCAAGGACAGCATGGGCTGTCTTGGAAGCGGTGTGTTTCCTGGTACCATTCAGACAGGCTGGCAGTGACACTGGGAGGGACATGAGCATCAAATGACCTTTAAGGTCTTTGACTATCAACTTGATTTTGCTCAGTGGGGCAGGCATCCAGGGAAGAGTCACTTGGGTGAGGTGAGAAACGTATCATTGGTCCCATCTCAGTAGAAAGCGTTTCAGACACCAGCAGCCCAGGGCTGTGAACCAGCACTGATGCTAGTTGCAATGAAGCGAAATGCAGGATAACAGGGCTAGCTTAGTGTGGTCATTCTCCTACAGCAAAAGCAGGTCTACAAGGATCCCCACCTCAGGTGCTCTTCCCTGGTGGAGACCAGCGAAGGGAACCCACAAACTCTTAAGCACAGGGTGGTGCGGGGTAGGGGGACATCACCTCTCCCTGCTTCCCTGGCACTGCGGATACTCCCCACCCCCACAGCCAGGCAATCTGGCTGAGTTGCAGCTTGAGTTTTTATGATGGAAAATAAAATAAATGGAGGCACCTTTGCAGGGCTGAGTCACTGCAGCAGCATCTCCTCATTAAAGTTGCTGCCCCTGGCTCAAGTCCCTGCCCACTTCCCCAGGCAGGGAATGGGGTGGGGCTCTAGACTTTTCTCTTTGGACCCTGTCAGGTCAATAATACATCCCTACCCCTCCATCAGCTACTTTGGACTAGCCCACCCTTCTTAGAGAATCAGGCCTTCAGCTCACCACCAACTCCAGAGCCCAAGGTTCAGCACTCCTGAGCTTGGTTTCGAGTCTTGATCAACCACTAACTACTTCTCCCACTGATGCCTCCTTCCCCTTATACGGCTCTTCCCCACCTTCCCCTCTCCTGGTCCTCATGTTCAGAGGAGGGAAGTTGCTCCAAAGTCATTTTGAGAAATGGGTCTCCAAGACAAGCATCAGCCATTGGGGTGAACAGATCAGGGTCTACCGAGAGTCAAAAGGGGATGGAGGTCAGAGGCCGTGGAATGTGGAAGAGAATCAGTTGGACAGACAGCCTCCACGGGTGGGTTGTGAAAGGTGGCAGGCTGGTGGTCTGGCGTGTACCTGTCTGGCTGACTGTACCTCACACCTCAGGCTTTCGGATCATGTGTCCACGTCAGGGAAGGGCCCCCGTGGGCGGTGAGGAACTTGGCAGAAACGGGGTGCCTCATTGCCCGGGTTGTAGGCACACAGTGTAAGAGAGAGGCAGCATCTTCTTATACTGAGAGGGGCTGGAGATGAGGGCCAGGATGGTCATGAAAGAGTGGCCTTAGGGACACACTTCCACCATCTGAGTCTGCTAGACTTCTCCCAGGCCTCTCCCCTCAACTCTGAGAGCAGTTACCCCCCATTGTGCAACTGCATTTTTCTGCCTGTTTGCC